TTTTTGGTTTTTCGAGACAGGGTTTCTCTGTGTAGCTTTGCACCTTTCCTGGAACTCACTTGGTAGCCCAGGCTGGCCTCAAACTCACAGAGATCCGCTGGCCTCTGCCTCCCGAGTGCTGGGATTAAAGGCGTGTGCCACCACCGCCCGGCTCCTCCTAGCTTTCTGACTGTGTAACAAATTAGAAACCTAGAAAGCCTTCTTCACACATCTATACAAAACAAGTCTCTAGAGATACATACTATGTATGTACACATGTACAAATGCATGCATGCACACACACACATTAATGCATAAACCTGCGCGTGCACACACACACACACACACACACACACACACACACACACACACACACCTCTTTCTTTGGTCTCTTTTGTCTTTTGAAAGAGTCTCGCCGGGCAGTGGTGGCACACGCCTTTAATCCCAGCACTCGGGAGGCAGAGCCAGGCGGATCTCTGTGAGTTCGAGGCCAGCCTGGGCTACAGAGTGAGTTCCAGGAAAGGCGCAAAGCTACACAGAAAAACCCTGTCTCGAAAAACCAAAAAAAAAAAAAAAAAAAAAAAAAAAGAGTCTCATATATCCAGTTGGCCTTGAACTTAACCTAGAACTTCTGATCCTCTTGTCTTCATACCCTGAGTTCTAGGATTATAAGCATGCCCCCACAATACCAGGTTCATGAAGTACTGGGGCTTGAACCTAGGGCTTTATGTAGAATAGGCAAGCACTCTACTAACAAAGCCACATCACCACTTCTCACATCACCACTTCTCTTTGTTTTTCCAGACAGGGTCTCCTTATGCAGCCTAAGCTGGCCTCAAATTTGTAATTTACCTGTCCCAGCCTCCAGAGTGCTGGAATTACAGGCATATGCTGCCACACTTGAGGTGCCACCTTGTGAGAGAAGAGTAACAAGGATTTTGTAGACCTACATTGTAACCACCAGAGCTGAGATATTGATTAACTTTACACTTTGTTAAGAGTGCATGCTACAAGCTGGAGAGCTGGCTCAGCAGTTAAGAGCACTGGCTACTCTTCCAGAGCACCCAGATTCTACCCCCAGCACCCACATGGCAGCTCACAACTATCTGTAACTCCAAGATCTGACACCTTCACACAGACATACATGCAGGCAAAACACCAATGCACATAAAATAAAAAAAAAAAATTTTTAAAAGAATGCATGTTTATAACAAGTCTTTCTCTGTCCCACCAGCCAGCTCCCAAATAATGACACAGAGACTTATTATTATTAACTATGAAAGCTCAGGCTCAGCTTAGGCTTGTCTCACTAGCTCTTATAAATTAAATTAACCCATATTTTTATTAATCTATGTTCTACCACGTGGTTTTTACCTCTCTTCCATTCTGTTTGTCCAACTTGTTCTGTGTCTCCATGGCATCTTATGCACCTAGATTTATCTCCTACTTCCTCTCTCTCTGTCCGAAGATCCCGTTGATACCTCCTGCATAGCTGTTGGCCATTCAGCTCTTTATTAAACCAATCACAGCAATATATCTTCACACAGTGTTCAAATATCTCATAATATATGTTATAAGCTGGGTTTTGGTGGTGCACACCTCTAATGCTAGCACTTGGAAGCCAGAGGTAAGTGGATCTCTGTGAGTTCAAGGTCAGCACATAATTAAAAATAATAAAAATAGCTGGGTGTTGGTGGTACACACTGTTGTGGAATATTCCTTTACACTGTGTGAAGATGTGTCACTGTGACTGGTTCAATAAAAAGCTAAATGGCCAATAGCTAGGAAAAAGAAAGGAAGAATCACAGGCCTTTTATGCAGGAGGAGAGGTAAAAGCCACGAGTCACATGGCAACAAGCAGATGAATAGAAATGGGTTAATTTAAATTACAAGAGCTAGTGAGACAAGCCAAAGCTATCGGCTGAGCTTTCATAATTAACAATAAGCTTCCATGTCATTTTTGTGAGCTGGTGGCCCAAAGAAAAATCTGTTTACAGCACACCTTTAATCTCAGCACTTGGGAGGCAGAGGCAGGCAGATCTCCTTGTGTTAGAGGCCAACCTGGTCTACAAAGCAAGTTCCAGGACAGCCAGAGCTGTTACACAGACAAACCCTGTCTTGAAAAACCATAAATAAATAAATAAATAAATGAAAGAGTGCATGGTAGTAGCTTCAGTAACTACTATAAAATTTATACAGTGCTTCAAAGCAAGGAGATAACAAATTTAATCCAAGATGACCAAGAAGGTGTACTTGGGTCTCCTCTTGGTCTTCATTCTCACCTCTTTATTTACTTATTTAAATATTTTATTTAAAATTTTAATTACGTGTGTGTGTGTGTGTGTGTGTGTGTTTGTGCGCGCGCATGCGCGCGTGTACGTATGTGTATGTATGATGTCAGTGTAGATGTCTGCAGAGACCAGAAGAAATTATATGGTCTCTTAGAGCTGATGTTACAGACAGTTGTGAGCTGCCTGATGTGTGGTGCAGGAAACTGAACTTATCCTTTGCAAGAGGAGTAAGTGCTCTTAACTGCTAAGCCATCTCTCTCTCAGCTTTGGTTTTAGACAAGGTCTCATCTAGGCCAGGCTGGGCTCAATCATTTTATGTACCTGAGACTGCCCTTGAATTCCTGAGTGCTGAGATTAAAGGCTAAAAATCTTTTTTAAAAGGTTAAAAATCCCAAGTGCTGGGATTAAAACTTTTTTTTAAAAAAATCAGAAAACAAACAACTCCTCCAAAAAAAAAAAGCCAGTCATGGTGGCGAATGCCTTTAAACCCAGCACTTGGGAAGCAGAGGTAAGCAGGTATCTGTGAATTCGAGAACAACTAAGGCTGTTACACAAAGAAACCCTGTCTCCAAAAAAAAAAAAAAAAAAAAAAAAAAAAAAAAAAAACACCACAACCAGCCAGGCAGCAGTGGTGGCACACACCTTTAATCCCAGCACTCGGGAGGCAGAGCCAGGAGGATCTCTGTGAGTTCGAGGCCAGCCTGGTCTACAGAGCAAGATCCAGGACAGGCACCAAAACTACACAGAGAAACCCTGTCTCAAAAAACCAACCAAACAAACAAAACAAACAAACAAAAAAACCCCACCACTACCACACACACACACACACACACACACACACACACACACACACACAAACCGGAATCAAAACAAAACAAAAAACAAAAACAATAAAAACCCCAAATAATCAAAAAACCTTCCTGAAACTATATGCCTCAAAAGGATCAACTTTACTATAAGTTATATTTTAACATGGCTAGTTTTTATGTTTTTTTTTCTTTCTGTTTTATGGAAGAACTGAGAAAAAAAAACTGAAGGCCTCACACATGTTAAGCAATTACTCTCCCAGTAAGCCACAGCCCTAGCCCTAAAGCTGATTTTTATTTAATGTAATTTTTGTTTTTTTAAGTGGAGTCTTGCAATCATCCCAGGCTGTCCTTGAACTCACTAAATAGCCCAATCTGCTATCAAATTTAAGATATTCCTGTTTCACCTCCCAGTGCCACGATTATAGGCATGTGCTATCATGTCTAGCAAGCAGATTTTTATTTTATTTTATTTTAATTAATTTTTTTGGGGGGTTTTTCAAGACAGGGTTTGGTGCCTGTCCTGGATCTTGCTCTGTAGACCAGGCTGGCCTCGAACTCACAGAGATCCGCCTGGCTCTGCCTCCCGAGTGCTGAGATTAAAGGCGTACGCCGCCGCCACCACCCAGCTAGATTTTTATTTTTTAATTGATTATTTTTTGAGACAGGCTCTCACCATATAGCATTGGTTGATCAGGAACTTGCTGTGTTAATCAGGCTGGCCTCAAACTCATAAGATACTTAACTGCCTCTGCCTCCCAAGTGCTGATATTTAAATGACAAAGTTTTTTGAGAGGTGAAACAAAACCAACGTCTAGGTTTTGCATGCAACCCTGGGTGTGGTGAACCACCACCTGTAATCCCAGCAGGCTGCGGCAGGGGGATGTAGGTTTAAAATGAACCTGGGCTATAGAGTGAGTTCCAGGACAGCATCAACCCTAGATTAGGTCGAGCTGGGACTTGGGTGCAGGCTAGGAGTAGGGCAGAGGAGGAAGCAGCTGGAGAGGAGTGGCCAATTTTGTGGCCTATCACTCTTATATCAGTGCAGTCAGGAAGCTGACTGATTTCAGCTCAGTGCCTCATGGAAAATACCCTTCTCTGCCCAGCTCAAGAGGCCTCTGGCTTCATGACCCAGGCAGGCTCAGTCTCTTCTGTCTCCTGAAGACTTAAACCAGTGGCACTTTGTGAGTACACTGGCAGCTTCATTGTGAATCTGTCTGAGCCAAGTGGCAGGTCTGTAGAAGGGGCGGTACCCTCTGAGCTCTCTGCCTAGGCATCCACCTTCACTCAGCTGCTTCTTCCTAAAGACTCAATCGATCGCGGCATCCAGACAGAGAGCTGGTGGGCACCCCCAAGTTTTTTTTTCTTTCATGAGAAAGGAAGCTGGCAGGAGGTGGTCCTATGAGGAAGGAGACCAGGCCAGAGTGCCAAAAGTGATTTCATGGGAACAGGGCACTGCACCACTAGGGGAGTGTTGGCAGGCTGAGCAGAGGGCCTAGGGAATGCTTCACTGAGTAACAGGCATGCCCATAAAAATACCGTAGCTACCAGGGCAGCTGCAATCTGCCATCTGGGCCCTAGGCCTTCCTTGCCCTGAGGCTTCAGCTAGCTGACTTAGTTTGGAATTCCAGCCCCCTCCACTTCGTCTCGCTTGGGAGGTCACAGCCGTGAGCCTGGGAGGGGGCACCATTGGGAAGAGCTCCTTCTTTCCAGAAGCTTTCCCCAAAGGGTTGTAAGTGGGAGTGAGGAGGGCAGGAAAGGTCAGGAAGCGGCCAATCCCGAGGACAAAGAAATTAGGCACTGAGCAGGGTGGAAGTGGGAGTAGGGGGTTGCAGGTCTAAGAACGCCCTCTCTGCGACCTTTTGCTTCTGAGCTAGGTTGGGTAGCAACTGTGGGGAGTGCAGGAGCCCATGTCCCGCCATACCTCCTTTACAGGCTGGGGACTCAGGTTCATGGGCACATCCTTGAAGGACTCTGGCCTAGCGTCCTGGATAGGCAGGGGTTCGAAGAGGAGCCCGAGGATATGGGGTTCTTCCCTGAGGGCACGGAGACGTTCAAATGCATGACAACGGCGCAGTACGGACCTAATTGTGTATGAGTACCCATTACTGGCCAGCGCCCTCGAAGGCCAAGTGGAGGTGGGGCAATCTGGTTCATAGCCTGGATCCTTTCCACACTGCCCAGCCGCGGGATCCCAAGAATACTCCTGCCAACGATTCCCAATCCAAGTCTCCAGGGCGGCGAGAATTCCCGATGGTGAGGTTGGGGTCACTCTGGACTTGGGGGTTCCAGGACTGCAGAGCTCCTGGAGAGGGCTCCCGAGGGGTCCCTATCACACGCGGGGCTCTGCGGCTGGGTTCCAATGAAACAAGGAGAGAGGGTGTGGCGAGGCGGGGCCTGCTGCGGGGGAGGTGATCTCACTCCCCCTCCTCCTTCTTCCTCCCCCCTCCCCCCCACGCACTCCTCTTCCCCAACCCTCCCTTCCACGCACGCCGCCCCGCCCGCCGCTGCCTCCGCAGCAGCAGCAGCAGCAGCAGCAGCATCGGCAGCGGCATCACGGAGGTGCTGGGTGTCGGGTCCGAGAAAGGCGTACATAGAGGCTAGGCTGGCAACCTGAGCAGCGAAGGTAAGGCCGGCTGATTTGTCCCCTTGGCCAAAGTAGCGACCATTCTGTGTTCCAGACCCAGCCCTGCCTCGGGCAGAGGGACGAGCAGCTTTCGTGCTGGCCTCGGTAGAGGGCAGGGAGACTGGAGCCCCACCCATACTAGGGCACTTGACTCTGAGCACTGCGGTCTGGAGTAGGATAGGGGAAAGTGGCTAGGTCCCAGAGCCCGACAGGTGAGGGGTAACTGGGTGGCACCCCAAAAGCACGCTTAGGGAGGGGCACAGGGGTGGTCAGACAGGTTCTGTGTGGGCAGGTGGGGCTGAAGTTGGCATATCCCTATGGGTGTGTGCGTGTGAGGAAAGAAATGTGAACCCAGCAGAATGTCCCTCTAACCTAGTCGACCGTCGTGGGGTGTGGCTCTGGGCGTGGCTGCTCCTCATCCCCATTCTAAGGTCCTATTTGCTGGAAAAACCCAGTGTCTAGAATGGTGTGGGAGAGATTGAGCAAAGCTCCTCCGGCAGTGGGGGAAGGATAGGGAACAGGGCGGGGCGCTGCCTGCCCCTCTGCCCCAAAGTGGGGAGGGGGCTTTGTTCTTCACCTCCTCCTTTCCAAATTCCTGCCGGGAATCCTCTCAAACGATCTGCAAAGCCAGTCTCCTCTCAGGCGCAGCAGGGAACCTCTTCCCTTAGGTTCTTTAGCCAATAAAGATTAGGAGAGACGTGCCTCTGGGTACACATGGGTGTTGACCATGGGTCCATCAGGTAGGAATAAGGGAAGAAGGGCCTCATTGGCTCAGGATCAGGGACTTCTAGAAGCAAAGTTCCTGGGACCCTTTCTGTAGAGACTGCAGCAGTTTTGGCCATTGCCATATCTTACAATCTCTGTTTAATTATAGAAGGGGAGGGCTTTCCATACCCTATTCCCTTCTGTCTGGTTCAGAGTTTTAGGGTATCGGTTGACAGGGATTGCAAAGAACAGCAGGTATAACCCACTGCCCCTGACTATGTAGAACCCCTGCCCATCACTGTCTGTCTCAGGGAGGCAGGACCACCATATGTCTGAGGGCCAACACCCCTTTTTCAGGTAGATGCCTTGATCCTGGTTAGTGCAACTCCAGTGGTAGGGTTTGCTGGCAGCCCAATGTTATCTCTGCTGACTCACATAGCCCTTATGGTGAATAAGATTCAACAGCCTTTCTTCCCTCCTTTATGGTCCTTTAGTAGGGTGGCTAGGGTGGAGCCTGCCCAGGGCCTCTCACCTCTGGTGGGTTCCTTGCTGCAGGTGGTGGGACTTGCCAAACCTAGCCTCTCACCTGCCTGGACATCTATGCAGCACTGTATACATGCTTACTGTTAGGCACCAAGCCTTCAGTCACCCTCAAGTATCTGTCATCTAGCACATGATGAGTTGATGCTAAGGCTGCAACTGGGAACTCCTCACCTCTCTGCTTCCTTGCCATATCTCAATGTCTCCCATTCTCTATTTATTTGTTTGTGCATACGATCCCCAAAGCAATACACCTTGTTACAGTATACTTGAAATATACAAGAACAACTTATTGAAATACATTTGAAATAGACAGAGAAGAACAAAAGAAATTAGGAATTGCTGGTGATCTGAGGAGAGGGAAACATTCAGTATTCAGCACAGCTCAGCCCTCCTGGATTGCTACTACCTACTCCCAAGATGCTCCTTCTCCAGTGCCCAGCCCCTAGCCTTCTTCAGAGTACCATGACACAAGGTAGCCAGGCATGGGGTTTATTTACAGAATGACTGCCCAGGAACTGAGCAACTATGGGTGGGTAGCCATTTGCTAGACAGATTCTCACTGCTGAGTGCCTGCTTGGGCCAGACTGAACGTGTAAGTAACCAGTCATCAATACCATCCTTGTCTCTATGAAATACAGGTTTACTTTCTTTTCTTTCCTTCTCTTCTATTTTCTTTTCTTTTCTTTTTGTTCCATGATAATTTGAAGAGAAAAAGGAAGACAATGTGAAGGAAAGCCAGCAGACAGGGGAGCCCTGCTATGCTCCCCATTTGGCCTCCCCCAAGTCTGTACTCTTTCTATCACTGAAGGATAGGCACTTTCCATGAGAAGCACTTGACCATGATTGACTAGGAATGGTGAAGGGGACAGATGAGTGTGCCATATTGACTGTTGCCCAGATCAACAACTTGAGACAATCAGGCCCTTACCTATTTTGAGCTTCAGCCCTCACCCCTTTCATTCTTTTAAATTTTTAAATTTTTATTTGTGTTTTGGGTTTTTGTTTGGTTTGGTTTGGTTTGGTTTTTGGTTTTTTGAGACAGGGTTTCTGTGTGTAACAGCCCTGGCTGTCCTGGAACTCTCTCTGTAGCCCAGGCTGGCCTCTAACTCAGAGATCTCCTTGCCTCTGTCACCTGATTTCTTTCTGATTTTTGAGACAGGATTTCACTCTGTAATTCTGGCTGATGTAGTACTCAATATGTAGCTAAGGCTGATCTCAAGCTCAAAGCAATCCTCCTACCTCAGCCTTCCTGAATGCTGGGATGATAGGCCTGTGCCACCACACTGAACTTGAGCTTCAGCTTTGTTGGCTATCATATGAGGGGGGGGGTTTACTGATATATTCAAGGTCTCTTTCAAGGCAAATGATCCCTAGTACCACCCAAAATGGCAACAACTAGGTGCTCCTCTGGACTGTGAGGATGACATGACCTTGCAGAATGACCTAGTCTAATGATCGTATCACTGCCAGTCGTTCCAAGACCACATGTGTCCAGGCTGTGAAATAGAATTGAGGTCCCATGCAGAGATCTGTCAGGCCTCCCTTTGTGGACAAGGTGTGAGGGGGTACCCTGTAGTTCAGGCACTGGGAATGGGTCTGAATTCCAGGACATATCAAGCTGGCAGCATCTTTGCCCTATCACCTGCTCTCATGATGGGGGAAGGCAGGGCTTGGGCCCCTGTGTGGGGTCAACTAGAATGGACCCTCAGTGGCCCCATCCCTTAGACCCTGTAACCTTTCTGTCTGTCACTTGCTCTAATCTGGTCATCTTTTCTGCTCTCCCAGGCTCCTTGCTGCCGCCTTGTCATCCTCTCACTAGGCCATTCTCTTTCTTCCTCATTTGCCCATGGAGGGTGGAGATGCAGGCCTCTCCTTCTCCCCTCTAATCTGTCTTCACTCCTCCCTGCTTCTGCCTGCCCACTTCCCCTTCCAGTTGGTTCCCCTTGCTCTATCTGATTGCCATTTTACTGATCTTTTATTTCTTTGCTTCACCTCCTACTTCCCCTAAAGTGTTGCCCTCTCTCAGGAGCTCCTGATGGCTGTGAGCTTGGCCCCAAGTTGCCAGTCCCAGTATTAGGGGTGACCCTTAGTGTACCTTAATTGTCTCCATGCCCCCGAATTGGGCCTAGACACCCCCTTATGACCTTGTCTGAACTGGAGGTTAGAGAGGAGCATCTGGTGGCCACCCTGCTTGCTTCCCTAATATCAACAGGGTCTTTGTGGCTTCCTGAAAGCTGTGGTTGGAGGGAGAAGGAGGAGTCAGAGGAGGGCGGGGAGTTCTTTCACCAGGAGAAGGATCTGCTCTGCTGGCCTTTCTGGAAGCTTTTCTTTGTCCACTATCCTCCATCCAAGGCCCCAGGAGCTTGCCACAGCTTTTCGAGGTTGAAAAGCTGCAAGGCCACTCAGTCTCCATTCAGCAGCTTGTGCTAGTCCCTGGCATACTATACCCAGCAGGGGCAGCTGCAGAAGCCAGGGATTGGGTGGGGCAGGAAGGCAGCAGAATATGTACTTGTCCATAGGGAACTTTGGAGCCAGTCTGTCTCAATTTTGGTCTGAAGATGGCCTTTGAAGGATAAGAACTGTCTCTTTAGGAGCCCCCTCCCTCCTCAGAACTCCAGTCTAAAGCATCCAGTGCCAGAGGGTGGGGGAAGGGTAGCCCTAGTGTGGAGGTTTGCATGGGAGAGTTTGGTTGCTGGGAAGCTTTGGGCCTGTGTGTACGTGTTCTAGTATTTTTATTTGCATTTGTGAGACTCATGTATCTGGTCACATGTGTGTATTTCTTGTTTGCCTACACTGGGCTCCTATTTGGCTATCTGTGCACATTTGTTTATTTGTATGTATGTTCTTCAGAGATAGTGTGCACACATACACATCCTCCTGTGTCTACCTGGGCCCCTTCAGTGTCCCTAACAAGGCTTACATTGGGAGGGTGGGATGGGGTGGTGGCTGACAGATGCAACACTGGTCCTTGTTTGGGGGTAAAGCCTCTGACCAGGCTAGGCTTTGGTCTCAGTGGAAGGGGCTATTCCCTTGGGCTCTTCCCCAGATGGCTTCGTTCATGCCTTAGGAATGCTCAGGCTATAGGGAGCACAGAAGCACCATTGTCCACTCCCAGGCTTCTTGTGCCTCTTCTGCCCTTTAACCCTTTGGGAATAGAAGCCCCAAGGGTCTGCTGGGGCCTGGTAATGTCTGAGCCATTTCCAGGAGTCATTTTGGAACTGGAGATAAGTCAGCTGTTGCTCTGTTCACACTTACTCACAACCTCCTCTACCTCACATGGATTGCCACTTGTTTGGTGGCCCCTCACCCAAGGAATGGATCCATATTGTCTCCTCTGGCCTAGCCCCTGAAGCCCCTCAGTGTGTCTCATCCTATCTGACCCATGAAACCCAGGGCCAGGAGAGCCTTGATACCTTCTGTTGCTTCATAGTTCTGCCTTTAGGGCTCTGGAAGGCTGGATCTTGGTCTCTATCACCCCTTAGTACAGAAACAGAGCCATTGCTATCTCTGAGCTCTGACTGGAGAGAGGGACCTTTGTGAGCCTTTGGTTGCAAGACAGGTAAAAGCAGGCTGAGATTCTGGCTATCAGGAAGAGGATAAGGAAACCCAGCCTGCCCTTGAGTCCAACAAGAAAAGCAGTTGGCCTTCTCTTAAATGGAGTACTTGGATGAAGGGTGTCAT